TTTTTGGATACATTTTTGTCATATTTTTCCCCCTTTCGAGACTTTTTTTGACAGTGCGCCAAGTTCGACGACTCCGTCGTCAATCGTTTTCTCAGTATACCTACAAAGGAAACGTGTACAATCCAAAATAATGGTTCGACATGTACGGGATACTTTTTTTAAAAATTAACTTCGAAGGTAGGCTCGTTCTGCTCACTGAGAAACGGTTGTTGACGAAGACATCAAATCGTAGCCTACCTGACACATGGGGTTAACTACACTCTGCAATAGACCCTGTCTTCCACACAATTCAATGCTTTTCCGGGCTCATCTCAATGTGCGGTTACGCCCTTATGTCAGCCAAGCGACGAAATTTGAATCAGTAAGTTCGAAAACACACCAACTCGGAAAAAAAAATTGTTCAGGAAACACCTGAAACTGCGCAGCGGGCGAAGAAGTTAGTTTAAGAAAAACCTTTTTGGTGCCAAAGGACAAGTACTTAGAGACTTTGTAAAGCACCCAGTTGAAATCGATACACCATATTTGATGACAGAGATTTAAACGTTTAAAAATTTCCGAGTTGGTGTGTTTTCGTTCTCGCCGACTTTTAGATACCTACTGATTTTTCATAGTTTGCCCTGAAAAATTTATATTTTTCGACCCGAATAACGCTTGAATATTTATATAACTTGTTGGTACAAGGTATACTGAACCGAAAAAAAGAAATCCGCAAAATCGTTTCCCTTGAAATGGTCAAACATTGGTATTTCCAAGGAAATACTTCGATTCTTCCTTTTTCCCGTCGCTGTTTCGAGCACTTTCGATTGCAATTCCGAAATTTCCTTTTGCGTGTAGATGCTTCTATCCATAAGTGTTACTATGTAAACCGTAAAAAAGTGAAAATCGAAAAAATCCCGAGTTGGTGTGTTTTCGAACTCACTGATTCATTTGTCTATAGTAGCCCCATAGTACCCACTCGCTCCTCCTCCCCGGCCAAAAAAAGGGGGTGAAAAAGTGAAAGACTTCATTAAAAAATTTCGCTCTGAGAGGGTGGATTTCCAGTGGGGACGGCGCCCTTTCCCCACCCCGTCTCTACTTAAGTCGCCGAGGTGTAACACTGTTAACGTGGTTGGAAACCTCTCAGGATGCCGTTTTTACACCGTATATCAACACCGTTACGATCATCGCTCGAAAACAAACTACTTGGTTACAGGTGTGCAAAAGCATTAACCCATCTGCTAATACATTACTGAGGCTTTTTTCATTTAGTCCTCTCCCGGAACTAAGCATTGACTCCGCCCTATCATTTCAAACCCGAATAAGACTAACACTAACAAATATTTAATGTTTAAAAGTTAGATTTCTTGATGGCTCCTGCAAGGATGTAACATGGGCCTCTGACTGAAGTGTTAAGGATCTTTCTGACATGCTCAGACCTTACACCAGGCTATTACCTGCGCACGAACAGCAAACACTTCCAAACTCCATTTTACCAGGGTATTAAAAAAAAATAGTAGGTGTGAAAAATTAAAACGCCGATAAGTAAGGCTTCATTCACCCCCTAACATAGTGGCCACCCATCCACATACATTTCTAAGAATTGCATTGGCATACTTTTTCCTACATTCTTTCACGACCACGTTCACTTGTTTTAGTCATAACTGTGACGACTTACTACTTCGCTCACATTGTTCCTTACTCACTAAGACCAGTTCTCCTTCAAAATCTCGTTAGGCAATATGAGCGGCTTGGGAGCAGCAATAGTTGCTCGCAGCATTTCGGCCACGTTAACTTGATTAATTCATAGCTGAGGCTGTTTTTAACTTAAAAAAACTTGGTAAAAAAGGGTACTCGATGTCGATGTCGCTGATGATGTCCGTCCGAACGAAACGCGTCTGCGAGTTTTAAAAATTGCAGTGCAAGTGAGAATCTTATTACCCCTTTTTTAAAAAAAAATTTTAGCAAAGTTTATGTGCACGGTTCCTGAGTTTTTTTTCACTTTTTATGTTCCTAACTTGATCCAACCAGTTCGCCTTCAATATCTCGATAAGCAACGTGAGCGGCTTGGGAGCAGTGATAGTTGCTCGCTGCATTGCGACCACAATCTCTCAATCTGTCGAAAGCTGTAGAGGTTTAATACTTCACCTCCATTGTTTCTCTCTCACTAAGGCCGGTTCGCCTTCAATGTCGTGTTAGGCAATGTGAGCGACTTAGAAGCAGTAATAGTTGCTGCAGCAGTTGCGTCATGCTTGTTCATTGGTAGCGTTAGCAGATAAGTGCTACCCCCTTCATTCTAATAAAATTACATTTGATGATTTGTCTAGATAATATGAGAGGCAGGGAGGGTAAAAATTGCCTGCAACCAGAACATGTTAGCCAAGTAAAAACCTGCTTTTAATGTTACTTATTCCATTATTGCCTACCCTTCAGTTGCTCGATTACAATTTTCCTACTTTGCCTCCTACGCAAACAGCACAGATTGCAGTGAATCGTAAACAGATTGGGAGCCATGAGATCCCGTTTATCTCTTTCAATTTCGTGGAGGCCTCGATGATACGTACGAATATGAGAGTTGCAATTCCTAGGGGGCCCCTCTGTTGCTTTGCTTTTGAGGCCCCTGTTGATAAATCTGAATATTGCAGTTTTGATTCCATGAGGCTCCAAGGATACTGCTGACACATCTACAGGGCCGGATTCACCTACTTGCCGCCCATGGGCCGCCTACATTTTGCCGCCCCCTACTCGTTCGTTTTGAAACTCGATAAAAACCATCAAATGAACGTGCCAGCGGGGGAGGGGTGCATAGGACGCGTTTACTCGTGTTGGACACATTTTTTGGGAAAGCCCTGTCAAGACTACTAGCAAAAGTTCACGACATTTTGCGCGAAAGTTAAGTTCCGTAAACCTATCTCTGAGTGGACAAGGCCTTCCATTCATAAGAAATAAAGGAAAAAATCGTGAGAGAACAAACATAAATGTGATTCAATGATTTTAACTCCCGCCGCCGCGCCGCGCAGACTGCACCGTGTTGGACGCAATGCGTGAAGTATTCCCGCAGTCTTGTGGGCGCTGGCGCTATGCGTTTCACGCTGACCGCACTGTTTGGCGCAATGCGTGAAGTATTCATGCATTCTTGTAGGCGTTATCCGTTTCACGCTGACCGCACTGTGTTTGATGCAATGCGTGAAGTATTCGTGCAGTCTTGTAGGCGCTAATAAGTGTTACATGCCGATCGCTGCGCCGAGGGCTTCTCTTTTTCATCTCAAGTCCTCGTCATCATTTCTCTCTCAGTCGCGCCGTTCCTGGCCAAATTGCGTGTTTGGTTTCTCTCGTAACTCGGCTTATTGAGGGTGCTGTCTCTTGTATCACTAAGAGCCGACAAAATTAGAAATTACTATACTCTCAGGAAATGAGAGATTTTGTCGCCTTTTCTCGTTTCTAATTTTTTTTTATAAATCCGATTTTTTTCATACTTACCTACACTTTAAAAAATTGCAAATTTTTGCCGCCCCTTAGATTTGCCGCCATGGGCCGCGGTCCATGTGGCCACCCCCTTATTCCGGCCCTGCACATCTACAAATTTTATTCTACAGTCTTCAGAGGCCCCCTCAGCAATTCTAAGCCAAGAAAAAAGTGTGTACAAACGTTGTCGCAACATAATTTTTGAAACATGACTTTGCACCGTTTCTGCACACTATTTGCTGGGTGGGTGCATATTCTTTTAAGGCTCTGGGACTTGTAAGGTCTCTTGGATACTTATTTAAAGAATGCTGGAGTCTGAAAGATACTTAACAAAGATGAAGAGATGAGAGAGTTACGAAGAGATAAGTAATGATCTGCGGAAAAAAATTGACGCGGCAGCTTTGTTGGAGCTCTGCAGCAGACCCTTAAGTAAAAGGCAATTACCTCCTAGCCTCCGTAGCCAGTCCGCCACAAGAGTTTGTGCGGTTGTCTGTAATTTGGCAAATAACAAGACATTTCAACTCTTTCCCAAACATGTTGTACTGGCCTTCCTATTCTCGAAGCTCTGCTTTGTGACCATCCTGTTATCATTGAATCTTTGACTCACTCAAATTTGCCATTAGGGCATCACCCACCAGTAGCACATTTGAGAGGTCAGCCTTTAGCACCCTCTTCAATACGTGACATGAAGAGACTTTTTTCAGTGATCAAGGGATCTAACGGTAAGTAGAAATCTGTTAATCAACCTTGTTACGCCTTGGATCAATCATTTTGACAGTGTAAGTCAGCAATCACATAACTCAGTTTGCGATATCGCAGACTTCCTGTCATACTTTATTTTTTAACCGGAAGACTACTCAATGGCGTTTCTTTAAACTGCCATGATTTTTCATCTTTTTGCAAAGAAAATTCTGCAAAAACTTCAAAGAATGATGTCAATTTGTTCTCCTTGAAAAAAGAACATAGAGGCAGAGATTTTCAGGCACCGCAAACAAGATAAATGATTGCGGACTTACACCATCTATTTATTAAAATAAGTTTAATTTAGAGGTTAGGATTTTGGGCGCAGAAGCTATAGTTTAGGGAAAAATATTCATCGATTAGCTCCTTCATTGGACAGTACTTTTCGGTAATGGAGGTAGTTCTACCAGTTCTCCTGTCGTCCCTGACCAGTCAGATTAAAATTATAGATTGGTGATCCATTGTACCTCCGATCAAAAAGAAAAAAAACCTCAGGAAAGGAAGACAGTTAAAAAATATTTCCACTTAATGGAGCGAGCTGTGAATTACGCATACCTGGACCAGTAAAATAAATACAAAGAGATCATGCAAAACTGTAAAAATATGACTGTATATGGACTAAAAGGCATTAATTAAACACAGCAGCTATTTATAACTAATACTGCGCTCAAGGTGACAATGCACTATTACTTATCCGAGAGAGTAGCACGGCCAATCTTTGTCATGAAAAGAGGCTGCAAGATGCAGCCACTTCAAGGGATACTGTCTAATCACGTGCAAATTTCATGAGGCGAAAGAAAGTGTGATTGTGAACTCACCAGGGAAAAGAGACCGAAAGAAATGAGGTTCATTGTTCCTGCGAATGCTGTTTCGTTGATCTCAAGAGGAGCTTTTCACTCAAGTGGTGAACAATAAGAATTCCGAAGGGTGAAAAGAACTGAGACTGAAAGTTTTAAGAGAATCAAGAAGTCATTTTGCTTCCAAATAGAGCACACAGCACATTCAGTACGAGCACAACACTGAACAGTAGACAGCACGGTTGAGAGATCGGTTAGTTACCGATGTTTGATCATTTCAAGATCAAAATTTGTAGAATTGAATACGTGTGACGTCTTCGAAAATTCGACGTAAAATTCGGCACGGAAGCACGGAGCAAACGCGTAAGTAGGAGTACTTAACACAGTAGTTACTTTCCGAGGCTTTTCAATCGGCAACCTTATCAATTATCAATTACAGTTGCCCCCGTATCACTCATGAACACTCACACCGAGATGTTCATCGTTCATCCGTCGCTCGTCTTGACGTAAAATGACGTCATATTGTGGCAGCTGTTACGAATATATTCCAATTATTCCTCTTTTCGAACAAAAGGAATTTTAACGGCAAATTCTAAACCAGACATTATGATTGGTTTAGACCAATTCATTCCATTTATTCCGAGTTTAACCAAAAATCGCGGGAATTTCAAACCAAATCCGGATATCCGTGTCTTTTGGACATTTCCGGTCAACCAGAGTTCCAGTTCTTAAACCGGAAACGGATACGTTTTTTTTAATAATTTGCGTACTCATACCGTAGCCGCAATCGTGGCTACAATGACCTATGGCCTCACCAAGTATATTCTAATCTTTCTTGAGGTTTTCCGGCCCGATTAAAGATTCTGTTTCATGGTTAAGGTGATTTTTCAAGCTCAAGTGACGTGGTCGAACTGGCATGCGATACATCGTATCGATTAAGTGAAAAATCTCGGCAATTTTGAATTTTTAGCAAAAATAAGGAAGATAGCCCCTGCGCATGAAACTAAAGAATCATTTTAAACCCAAAAATTGGCAAAAATTCAGAGAAATGAAAGTAGAATAGTGTTTGGAAAAAAACCTCGAATTCGATTCAGTTATTGGTTTCTGTAATGAATGCGAGGTTTTTGTCCAAACACTATTCTGCTTTCATTTCTCTGAATTTTGCCAATTTTTGGGTTTAGAATGATTCTATAGGTTCATGCGCAGGGGCTATCGTCCTTATTTTTGCTAAAAATTCAAAATCTGCTGAGAGTTTTGACCTAATCGATGCGATATATCGCATGCCAGTTCGACCATGTCACTTGAGCTTGACGAATCACCTTAAATGCATTTCAACAGTGAAACTACAGGAGCGTGTATCTCCGTTTGCAGCATAGGAGGCTTCCTGTCATAGGTACGAGGACAGCTTCTTGATTGAAAGGTAACAAATTTGTCTCAAATAAAGTGGTATATAAAACAACCGAAAAAGTTCTTATACAAAGATCAATTTAATAAATTAATACATGATAAAAACAATCAATTGGGGACACTGTACATACACTTAAGTATAAAATTACAAATTAGTATCACAGACAGTAGACTTTCAAACAGTTAAACATAATTTAGTCATGATTTGGGAGGCACCATGCAATTTCCATCAGGATAGCGTTCTTTAAATGCTTGTATCAGTTCTGGATCTACCAATCGAACTCCGTCCACTTGATTTCCTAGAGTGATCCTAGAAAAGTAAAAATTGAATGGCCTGATTACAACAATGTTCAATAATTCCTACATACAGCCTTGCAAAAACATTCAAATAAAATTGTATAAAAATTGCAATTTGATTGTGAAAGAAAAATTGCAATTAAAGAGGAAAAATCAGTTCAATAAAATTGTAACAGATCCATATTAGGACTGTGCCACCTTTAGCAGGCAAGCTTAAAATTGGTATTACCTCATTTTATTTAAATTTTTGTTACAAGAAAATTGCAATTTATTTACAATTGCAAGAACTTGGCCAATTGTTGCAGAAAAATTACAATGATGGTGCAATAATGTTCTTGCAATCGAGTAGCAACTTTTTTGTTACAAAATGCTACTTGGGCCTGAGGAGGCAGAAACATGAATGAAAATAGTACCTAAAGAAAGCAGTAGTTAATACACGGAAAAAAAAGAATTGCTGATTCAGCAATTCAATTGCTAAAAACAGTGAGTGCAATGTTTCAACGCAGATTTTACAACATAAAAATGCTACTTTAACCACCCCCGTGGTTAAATTAGTTTACAATGTGGTTAAAGTAGCATTTTTTTGTTGTAAAATCTGCATTGAAACATTGCACTCACTGTTTTTAGCAATTGAATTGCTGAATCAGCAATTCTTTTTTTTCCGTGTGGGCAATATTTGGGAGTTGTAAACAATAAAGATCCATTCATGTCCATTTTTTAAAGGCAATAACTTTTCCTGGAAAATAATTAACATGTTTTTCTGGGACGTGTATCTTGACGGGAGCATTCCCCCCTGCAAATTATTTTTCTAGGCCTCTGATGACTTTTAACTGCCTGCACATGATAGACTTTGCGGTTTTAAAATGAAGCCTTACAAGAGGATTTTTGCTGAGTAGACAGTAGGCACTCATATTTTTTTTGCCAAAAAAACAAATAATATTGTTTTTTGTGCAAGATCATGGATATAAAGAGAAAAGCTCAGCAATTCTAAGGCCACCACACACCTACAAATATTACTTAGCAGAAGATTCTGGACACTCCTGTGAATAAAGGAGTGAGGAAAACTCTATTACATAATAAACTTACCAATTCGGTTGAACATTGTGAGGTCTCCCAAAAAGTTCTATTTTTCTGGTACCAGGAGAGAGTCTTTCGATTATCCCATAGATTTCATCTGGTTTATGACTCGTGGCTCGAACTTCAGCTACAATTACATCACAATCAAGACCCCTATTTAAATTCATCGGATTCCCCTTCATGCCAACCTGCAATCACAAGAAAGAATAATTAGCTGAGCTATGTTGGTTTGATCATTTGCAAATCAATTATGTTCAATTGAGACTTTGCACACAAAAATTTTATTGCTTCATGTGAGAGTGCTTAATGTGCTGAGTTCGAAGTATTTTTCATAATTTTTTTCTGACATGGGAAATTAGAGAAAATTAGATTTAAAAGTGAGAAAATGTGCCGCCTCATGACGTCAGTTGGCAGCATTTTCAATTTGAACACATGCATTTAAGCAGATTAGATTATTTTGTCATATTTCCTCCAATAATTGTCCGATTTAGATACCAAGGATATCCTCGAACTCAGTTTTCCTGACAGTATCATTTTAAAGATGAAATTTACAAAAATTCAGACACTTGCAAAGTCTCTATTCTGAAATTATTGCAAACCTACATGTCGAATACTGCAAAAATTAAGCAGCAACTAAGTCAGTTTAAAAGCTTGCTTATATAGTGAGTAGTTGCAAGATGGAGCATATTCTGATAATCTAAGAGTATTTTAACGCTTATGAACTTACCAAACAATGTTCTTTTCCATGGTTGAGCCAATGACCAGTCCGCCCAGTTCTGATTATCCTTTGCAGCTGATTTGTTTTCACCCAAATTAATTCATCTACACGTTCGTAGCCCCACAACATTAGACACTCTCTGCCAAGTTCCATTGCTCTGAAAAATTCATTATGATATTTCAAGATGAGAGTGTACTACAGCGAGTAAATTTACAATCAGTGCACTTGTAATAAAACTGTATGGGCCTTAGTCTGCAATAATTCAAAGGACCCTGCACGAAAATTCAAAGATTTTGGCGCCGTTTTTTGTATTTACAGCCTCCTGAGTAGCTGGACTTAGAAATCCAAACTATCCTTGTGTCATGAATAGGAAAAGCAGGACTAAAAATTGAATTTTTGATATTTTTGCATGTGGTTTTTTCATGGAAATGTGAGTCTATTGATATGTGTGTTCGGACGCTGCACTGCACTCAGTTGCTTTTCTTCCCAGTCAGGCAAGAGACAAAAACTCTCCTCAATCACAAATCAGATAATACAATATTTCTAATTTTCTACTGAATGATGCTCTTAAAACTGCTGGAAAAATTCGCCTTTTAGTCCTGTTTTTCTTGAAATTTGAGGAAACTTCAGTTATAAATCTTATCATGCCTGAAACCCATTCCGCCGAATTCTTTGGTTTTCGTGTTTTCCTGTCATAGTTTAATTTGTTAAAGAACTTTTGAAAAAATTAAGGATTAGATAATTTGTTTATATGAAAGCAAAATAGCACTTTCTACCTATTTATTTCTTCTGTAAATTCCCAATAATCAATTTTTGAAGTTTTTAATGGCCTGAAAGAATCCTACTTGTTCTTCCCTCATTAAATCTTTATTGTGCGAGAAGATTAGTTGTCAATAGCTTAATCATTCACAACAGATTTTTTTTTTTTTTCGAAAAAAAAGTTACAAAATTATAGTGTGAACTGCATTTAAACTCAATTTTAGTGCAAATGCCTAACAAAGTTCTTAATTGCGAGACGGTATCAGAGACTAATAATTGAAAATCGATAAATCAGTTTGTGCAAAAGTCACATTACAATTGACCCCAGTTTCAAAACGAGTAAAACCAGATTTGGGGACACGTCAGATGTCAGCGCTTGACAATACTGTAGTTCAATGAAAGGCACCTGTCAACAACATGTTAAGCCATGCAATTTTTCTACATTCTGCAGTGAATTTTTTGCAAAAACATCTTAGTAAAAAAGATTACAAAATTTACTATGGGTCTGGCTCACATATTTGATATTACCATCAAAATTTTTTGCTAGCCGACCCACTGAGTTTCCATGGTAATACCATTATAAAGCAAGTTTTATTTAGAGGATCGGTAATACTTTTGTGCCCGAACCTGCGAGCTGCCATTCTATTTGAGTTCAGAACTTCCGATTCGGTGAATAACAAATCGCAACGATGCAGTGGTGCGTGATTAGGGTACCACCTCGCAAGGTGGTTTTAAAAAAGGTTCGACGTATCAAAAACCAAAGGATCTGATTGGTCAAATCTAGTAACAAAGGTGTTCACTAGTGTTGGTGATTGATGAGAGGCCAACCAGGCCAGAACTTCCCAAAGAGGTTCGGAACTTAAAATAAAATTCACTTATACTTGTGACATCTTATTTGCCATTAAAAATATTGACACACGAAAAAGAACCTCTTACCGTCCAGTAACCCAGAGGAAAAGAAGACCATCATCCTGCAGCTGCGGGATCCCGAGTTGTCGCATTTCATCATCCGACATAGTTCCGTATGGTAACTCCATGTGTATGTCCCACGGTGGATCTGCCATAATAACAGCGAATTTACCTGTAAGTGACAGAAAATATAAAAAATGTAACTTAGTTAGAAGTCAAAATATTTCAGTGGCAGTTTTGTCTGCACATGAATATGGGGCAGAATTTCTCCGAATAGGTGACAAATCTTGAACAAATGTGTCCTGCACATTTGCCCTCTTTTTAGCCTTAAAATATTTGTTGAGTACTTACTGCATAGTATCATGAACATGGAGGCATAATTTCTCATTGCTCTTCTATGGGGCCGCCTAGGGCATGGACTGAATGGGCCACAATGTATGGCGGAATATTTTGAAGGGCGGCAAAATAACAGAGTTGAGGAGGCAGACTTCGAAAATGACTACCTTATATTTAATTTTCAGTCTCATTTTGCTGAGTCAAATTGGGCAAAAGTAAAAGAGAAAATCCATCATTTTGAGCCAGTCTTGGTTCCGCATCATTCACTTTTCCAAAGCCCGTAAATGTGTTTATTCCTTTGGAAACCACCCCATTTGCTCTCAAAATTTAGGAAGGAGGGGGGGGGTAAACTATTTCAAGGTCTGATCAACTTATTTGTGAATCCTCCCTCCTTTCCCCTCCTTAAAGAAATACGATGATGAAACTCCCAAACCACATATCTCGTTTGCGGTATTTAAAAATCTCTACTCCTGTTTTATTTTTTTAAAGGCGAACAGATCAACATTAGTTCTTGACATTTTTGCAGATTTTACTTTGTACAAAGAGGAAAACTCATGGAGGTTTTTGGGAATTGACGTTGAGAAGTTTTCCATTTAAAAAATAAAGTATGACAAGAAGTCGGCCACTTAGCAAACAGCGATACGTTGTTTGGGATTTTCTCCATCAAACAGCGATTTAATAAATGGAACCACAAGGCACCAGGAAGTTAGTTTTAAATGATGGGACTCTCAAAATTTACTGCACATTTCAGTTGCAAAAATTTTCAAAATTTGCTTTAGTTTGAGCCTTGAACTTCCCAAACAAAGTGGCGATCCCGCTAAATGTATTCATATTTATTCCCTATCTATGAATGGAGAGTTTGACTGAAGTTTCTCAACGTAGTGTGAGAGATCCTCTTCATTCTAACCTCAATTTTCAGAGCTTTTCTTGAGCTTGGGAGTTCGTTTTAGAGAAAACAAGTGGCACCATTGTGTTTCTCGCAAAATTTTTCAAAATAAAAAGTACGTAATCACAAATCCTTGACTCAAGGAAGAGCTCTATTAAAGATCAGGAGAGACTTCTAACTAAATACTGGTTGCTTTCAAAAATAGTATGCTGTGCTTTCTTTTTAATCATGACTTAAAATTCCTCACTTAGCATTTCCAAGGGAAAGCTTGCGTTCCGCTACATAAATACAGTCATAAGCGCGCAAATGAGTTGGAAAGTATCATTACCTAAAACAGTCATGTCTAAGTAACGAAGATCACACTGCACCCACTGTGGAGGATACAGTATTGTTTTATCTTGAACTAAAAGCTTCTTTTCAACGATTTGCAGACTCTCATCCAGCAGAGGATCTTTTGACGTTGTAGAGCCATCCACTTCATAATGAACATATCTGAAAATCAGAATCAAAAAATGCTATGAAAAGACACACAGAGGAGATCCGATCACTGAGAATGAGAACGATTAAGACAAGACTGAAGGTAGTATAAGAAATTATATTTGATTACATATTCGTTTACTATGTTCTTTTTTACTTCTCTCTAAGGTGGTGATGAAATTTGTACCTCCATCATGGCAATGTTATAGAAAGTTTTAATCCCACCAGATCGATTTTCCCTACAAGCGATCATTTTTCTTCCCAGAGTTTAATCGATTTAAATCCAGAGTTTATTACATTGAACGCGATGCCAAATGATACATTTATTGCTCTTGATTTAACTTTGAGAAAGAGCTAATGGCGACGTTTACGCCTGTAAGCAGATACGACAGACAAGTTTCCAGGAAAGCAAAAACCGCATTTCATGCCAAAATTGTCCGTTTCTCGTTTGTGATGAAATTCAATGACTATCACACTCAAGATTGGTGTAATTTGCATTAGTCTCAAAGTTATAGACATTTGAGGTGAAAAAAGTCAGGAGCTGGCAAGAATGCATCGCGTCAGCTCCATCTTTGCTCAGGCGAGCAGTGATATCAGCGATGACGTCAACACATGAATGCAAGGTTACCTATGTGATTGTTCATCAGCCAACAGAAAACACCATGTTTCCATCAAAACTGCCTTCAAGATGAATATTATGCAAAAGGATGTGCATCAGTAATGCAAAATGCATTCAATTAAACAGCAGGTGCGTCATAGAGAGATGGTTGAAATACATCATATTTTTAGGATCACCAGATTTCAACATTTGGAGTCAAACCTCCTAAATTTCAACCATAGATCAAATTTTTCAGAGAAAATTTTTTGTTTTGATTTAGCATAAAATTTTGAGGCCATTGCAGGTGCAGAAGTGCTTTTCTTTATCGATTTTGAAGCAGACTTTTCAGAATGAAATATTTCATGACTTAAACTGTTTTTCTCTTGAAATACCGATTTTTCAACCTCAAACTCTGAGACATACTAGAAAAGTCAATTTTTGGAATTTTTGGGTGTTCACTCTGGAAAATGATACAGATTGACCCCTCTAAGCAGTAACATCCTTATCTTAAATTTTGTCTTTTCACTTTAAATCCCCATGCCTGGTCTAAAGAAGGGTTAAAGGGTTAAAAGTTACAGAAGGATAACAGAATAATTTTTTTTTCTCATCCTAGAAGTGACATTGTAAGAGAGTAAATATTTGACAAAATACCCTTACTATTTATTTTTTGGGACATCCTTGGCTCAAAAACAAAAGAAGGTTTTGAGGAGTTTAATCCACTTACGAGTTGCAGAATTAAGCCTCTTGACATAAAAAAAATTAAGTAGATTTAATGATGGAGAATTAAAGTCAATGGAGCTTTTTCCTGAGTAGGAATGAAGAAAACATTAATGTATGAGGAACTTACTTGCAAGTGTCCATGTGAAAACATGTGTTCAAAAAGGAACAATCACCTAAAGATTCATCCGTATGACTTTGGATAATTTTCTTGAAATGCAATTTTTTACAGTGCTCATTTCCAACCCGTAAACATTCAGATTTCGTTCCATGTGGGCAAAATTCCATAACTTGAGCACCTAAGACAGATAAGAGCAACAAATGATGATGACCTAGCACATTTTGAAAGGGGAAAAGATACAGCTTTAATAAATTCAAATTGCTATTATAGGAGCTTAGAATAAACATGGACAGTTTTTTCAAACTCCCAACAAAGAGTAGAAGAGTAGGTTTCAAAGAGTAGGAAATTCAGCGCAAAAATGATTAAAAAACGAATAGTTGTTCTTTCCGGAGTAAAAACCGGGCTTGTTGATGTAGTGGTCAAGACAGCCTCCTGCCAGTGCTGAAGTACCAGGTTCAATTTCTAGTTAAGTTTGTAAGTTTTTTTTACATATTTTACTTTTTCTAAATTGTCTTATAAGCTTCTTGGACATATTTTTGCCAAAGAATACTACTTGAAAACATCTTCCACAATTTGGATGTTTGGTTATTATACTGCTTTAGACAAGGACCACATGACTGAACTGGTTACCTGAAAATGATAGGTGAAATTTCTGCCAACATTATGTTTTTTCATGCATGGTTGTTATTTTTATCTGCAAAATTTGTTTAAAATTTTCCTCTTTGTTTATAGATTCTTTCTGCTCATTCATTTTTAAGGTAAACTTTAAGAATATGACAAAAGAGGCAATAAAAGACTATGAGAGTGAAACTTCTGATGATTTTCACAAAATTTTGGGAGGAAAAGCTCTGACTGGGGGCATTTTTAGAAAAAACTTTCTAAAAAAAAAAGTCTCATTTCGATCTATAGGGCATGCTCCTTCAGTCTGACCATTTAGCCAATAGACATCTTATTCTATAGGTCCCTGAAGCGCACTCATGGTGTTGAGCTGTTGGCGTTATGACACATGGAGGGGAGGCATACAATTTTCTTAAACCTTAAGTAAAGCAAATATTGAAAATTACCTCCTTGTGATCGAAAACGTTCCGCTAAAGACCTTTCTTTCGCAGTCGGTTTATTGAGAAGATCCAGTATCTCTTCACCCACTTTTTTCACCTCTTTTTCCCGAGCTGATGGCATAGACAACAAGGACATAATATCTGTAGTTTCTGTCTCTTTTTTATCTTTTATTTTCCCGAAATCTGAAGTCTGTTCTACTTTTCCATTTGACTTCAATACTTTTGGTGCCGGCTCCAACTCTTCAGGGTCGGTGCTCCCTGAAAAATTTATTTAACAACATGAATTACAGCAGTTAAGCAAGGCAAAGTTAAACTTCATACAATAAATCTTTGGTGCGAGAGTGTCTTAATAACAGCTCTCTGAGCCCTTTTAATCTGCTTAGGTTATTTGAGATCCTTTTTTAATGTAAGAAACTTCACATAAAATGTAAAATACAAAATTCAGACAATAAGAAAATGTTCATCCTAGTTAAGATGAGAATCTATGAACCAAAAACAAAGTGCCTAACCGAGGTGCCCTAGAGAATAATATAGATTTATGTATTTCCGTAATTGGTTGGACCCATTTAGCAAAATAATTTGACCAATTCATTTTTTAGCACAAGATACTGGAAAAAAATCGATGCACAAAAATAATACAACTTGTACCTTTCTTTCTTTTGGTTTCATCAGACGAGTCTTTGTTCAACACTTCTGACTCACTGTCTGACTGGTTTTTACTGGAGAGCTCATTGACCATGGCTTGAAGCTTTGAGTGTTCAACCGAGGTAACTTCTAAAACAGCGATTCCATTTTGAGTGCTTTCTTTAACACTGAAAAAATTAGAAGAAAGACTCCATCAATAAAATTTAAAGACCTAAATATGTAAGTTAAAATTAATATTATATGCCAAGAAAATATAATTACTGATCACAATAGCATAAAAGTGAAAGTCTTATGTTAAGTCCACAAGTTTAAAAAACGACTTAGTCCAGGGGAAAGGTTACGTTACAAAAAATGTGATGAGAGATGAAGAATTCTAAGCTAAGAAAATAGAGCTCTTGCAAGCATCAGAGATTTGCGATATAAGTTTTTTTTGTTCAGTAAAATTTTGGAAGAAACGATGATGCCACTTTTTTTCACTGGGACGAATTCCCAAGCTCTAACAAAGCTTTCTAAGTAGAGGTTGCAATGGAGGGGATCCCCAACGGTACACTGAGATTCCACCGGGGGGATCTCCTCCATCGTCGTCTCAAGCCTCAATTGAGAGAGGTTTTTTGAGCTTTGGAGTTCGTTCCAGAAAAAACCAATGACACCATCAAGTTTCTCTGGAAATTAAACACACAAAAAAATACTTGAATTATAAATCCCTGATGCATGTAAGAGCTCCATTTCTTCAAATATTAAAGATATTAAACAAAAAAAATGGCAATCAAATTAGGCCTTTAAAGCATTAGATTCAATCAAAAACAATAAAACTTACTTTGTTCTAATTTTGATATGCAAAACTGTGAGAAAATTTTTTTGAAAATAAATTGAAGGTGCACACTGACATTGTGAACGAATTTTGAGGATGGATGCCCAATAGAGAATCCTTTCAAATGTATTAATTAGCTTGAAATTCAGCAACGTACGCATAAATTCCAGGGGATTTTAGATAAATTTTGGGGAAAATTGTGAAATGACAAGTGCAAATTCAAATCAGTCTTCACCACCAAAGTAAAAACTTAAAGCGAACTTACGACAATGATAAACTGAATCGTACAAAAATGCATTGATGTTTCATTTTTTGTTGTTACTCTTGTTGATCACAACTAATCACAACTGATGATCCTTTTAACAGAAAAAAATTCTTATCGAAAACAGAAAGAGAAAAAAAGTAGGTCCTTACTTGATAAGCTTTTGAGTGGCAAATTTTTGAAGTAAGTTGACAATTCCAGTATGAGTGATCAAGATTGAGCCAGGCTGCATTTTGGAGACTGTGGTGGTTAAAAATAACGATGTGACTGGCAATGATAGAGCTAGCTCCGTGAGACAGTTTAATAGATGCTGCTCGGCCGTTGGATCACATTTTGATGAGTCATCGCTGATTTCAGAACCATCAATTTCATCTGTGAAAAAAAAAAAGATTTTAAGGAGATTTTCAGAACTCAACATCTTATGTTATTAGAGTATTCTTATTAAGGAAATTTTGATTAAAATATAAAAACATGCAAGAGGATTTTTTGCACTATTCTTATAGCAAGATGATACCGAATGAAGTTATCAAACTAAATCCTGATTCAACTTTTTTGGCTACCAATGAACTACACTTCAAGATGTAATAATATGAAACCATTTGCTCTTAAATTTCATGCATTGCCGAGGTTAAATATGAGCAGCGATAAGTTTCAAACTACCTCCTTGGAGTCTTTGATAAAAATGTTGAGAACATGGTTACGTCCTGCAGAATTCAGAAATGTTCAGTAAGAAAACTTACCTAAGCTTTTGGAAATAATAGGTGATCCTATCTTGATAATGCCTAAAGTGTCCGCAGATAGTATTTTATCTAAATATGTAGAAAAGATAGAAATTAGTTGATGTAGAACAGTAATCATATCAAATAAAAGTCATGAAAAATATCGAATGAAACTGGCATATGATAAATACATATAGGAGATTTGGTGATGGTATTCTTAGATGATGCACCAAAAATACCATAGGACCATGGGACCATAGGAGGCAATTAGATGCGTTCTCTGGAGGGACCAGGTCAACTGTTGGTTACCCGATGAGTACCGTTGAGAGTTTGACGATTGTTCTTGAAAACTTGCTGACTTCTCACTAATAACCCAATGACTGTCATGGCGGGGCTTCAGCCAACGCAGTTGCCAAGCACCTTTCATATGTGTTGGGCAAAGCTGCTGAGCATTGAGATAACCTCAATGTCTATTTGAGCCGCCATGATAGTCACATGATGAAAGTTTGTTATCGGGTAATCCATGAAAAATCAGCATCATTTTTTCTCGGATGCATCCAGAGATCGCATCTCTTCAATATGGAGACTTCGCTGATGCTTGACAAATATTTGACATTGCGACAGCTTTACTATTCTCTTGAATTTCTTTTGAGAAACACTGACTGCAGTCCAAATATCAATGGCTAAAATGCAAGATCACGTATCTCCGTTTCGCAATGTTGTAGATTTCTAATCATACTAAGTATATTTTCTCCTTGCAAAACTAGTCAACATAATTGCGCAACTATTGAGGGTACTTTGTGCAACTGTTGAAGGAAGAAAGTGTTGCAAAAATGTTACACTTATAAGTGAAACTTTCAAGGTTAGAAACCTCGAGCAGTTGTTTACCTTTGTGTTCAGAATTGATAAACGCTGATTACAAGTGAAGCCATAGTTTACTGCGGGTGTTTTATTCCTGAGCGGTCATTGTTCAGAAATATTTGTATACATTTCAGAATCAATTTTATATTTTCGTTTGTAGCATATCACTACAGCAGGAAATTAAAATGTTATCGAATATATTTTCTTTTTACCCATATCTGTGTTACGTTGTTGTTTTATGTTTTATACCTGGTCGAAATAACTCAAAATATTCACCTCCCGTTCATAATTATCAGTTCAGTTACCTCAGTTGACATTGTTTAACCTAAAAAAATTAATGTTGTTCAAATATTCCTGCCTAAAAGTTCTAGGGGCACATGTGTGTGCGTGGAGACAGGAAACTTTGGTTTGTGCAACAAACTCGCAACAGTTGCACCTAATTCCCTCAACAGTTGCGCCGTTGAGACGAGGCTTTAGTTTATTTAATTTACATGCTCATGAGGAAAGATACCAACCTGCTGATACACTACTTGCAGACTGATTAAGAATGTCTTGTCTTTCTTTTTTCCTCTTCTGTAATTTTTCTCGCAAGCTGTTTCTCTTGCTTTTGATTGCTTGGATATCCTCCCATGCATCTGACATTTTCTCTAACTGAAGGGCTGCAAAGATAAAAATAAGGGGTTGAGGATGAATTGAGATGCATTGAGGTTGCTATATTTTTGTGGCTAGACCACCACTATATTTCAAATACAAAATTCGTTCAATTATTTAACTGATACAGGACTATACGTGACTTTCACAACCTAAGGTTTCAACAAGAAAGAGGGAAAGAACGCTCAGAGGAGATAAAGTTTGCATTTTAAATATATTTCTTGGAAATTGGGAATAGGTTTCCCAGGCACCAGTAGAAACATTGATTGAATCGGTTCCTGCAAAAGAGTCCGATGTTCAATGCAGTGTTTCAGAGAAGCAAGGGTTTTTTTGCCCCACAACAATGGTTATTATGATTATCTCTTCAGTAAATATTTTTTTACTAATTTGTAATGTTCGAACATCTTAAAACAACTTTAGAAGGTAAGTTCCAATTAAATTGCCAATACAAATACTGAAATACTGTTTTGGACAGCGGGCATTTTTGTGCGAGCTGATTCAACTATACAAGCATATTGTTCCTGATCACTGACATAAGCATATTTCAAAAGAGTCAAGCCATCCAAGAAACTCAGACTTTCCAGCTAACTATCGATTTAGCTTCTAGAGTCCATGCCAAGTAAGTTTACGCACTTTCAGACAGCGACAGAAGCTCCGCCATTTGGATCCTTCCATTTACTTTACATGTAAAACTAACATCACACGAACTACTGTTGCAGTCTAAATGTGCGTAAACTTGTTCTGCGCGGACTCTAATCCAATGGAATCCTCACGGGGGCTACTGACTATATATGACTGACACGTAACTGTCCGACCCGCAAGATTGGAAGGTTTCTTTTTTTTCCTTCATACCTGGCCAAAGAAAATTGAAATAATCCGACATGACCGCTACAGTCGTGCAATGACTTTTGTTAAGTTTAGAAATTGACAGAATTTAAACTTACAAATTCAGATGCAGAAATTCATACAGCCGCCGAAGAATGTACTTGCGTACTGCGCAGGGCTGGAAATACTAGTTGGACTCCAAAACCTAGACGCACAAGTTTAAAACAAATAAGAAAGGGGAAATCTTGAGATATTTGAATTACAATCAAGACTTTACATACATTTTTCCCAATCAAGCTGATCTAGTGATCAATTTACTCCACTATTTTGGTTGATATTTCTGCCTACTTGGCAACAAGAAAAAAACACCCGAAATCAAAACAGTCATCTAAGATGACTCTCATGAAATTCATCGATCAACATTGTTTACATTCTCCCTCTTCCGTTTGGGGTTTGGCTTTTTTTTGGAGTTCTTAATACATATTAAATTTGATTAAAAGTAAAGTATTTCCAAGTTAGTACGCTGTTGCACTCACTATATGTAAGTACTCATCATCGATTTTTTTTGTATCGCACACGTGTTGTCTTTCAGAAGTGGATCTGACAATGTAAAATGATAGTGGCTCTACCCTTGCTGCATCTCTTCTGCAGCCCTTTTTCACTGGGGAAGCCCACTGCTGCGAACACTTTTTAATTCATCCATGTGGGCAGGTTTTTCTCGCGAACACAATGTGTGCTGTACGAAATTCAGCCCCCACTTCAGATGATGTAATAGACTTAGTCAGTGATGATGATAACGAGGATGTTGATGAGGACCGAAGTACGCAGACTTTGCAAGAACTCTGTGAGCTCGCCTCCCTCAGATCCTTAATTCCTCGCGACTTTCTTTCCAAAGCCCTTGACAGTGACTTCAATTTTTTCAATAAAGAGCTGGCATTGGCATTACTTAAAATCCCAGGGATCAAGGCATGCAGTCCTGCTGGTGGAATTACATCAACTGCAGTTCCTCTCAATAGTAATTCATCAACTGTCTCGTCTACAACAACACCAAATACCATCAGTGGTGGCAGTTTACCACCAAAGATTAAGCAAGCCCGGGGCCAAAATCGTAAGTCTGCAACTATTACATTAGACGGAAGACAGATTAAGAAAGTGGCAGCACCTGGCAGTTCATCAAGATGTAAAGAAGGAATTGTCATATCTAATTCAAATGATACCAATCAAAAAGTTAGTAAAACCTCAACCATTTCAAATGGTATTGTTTCTCCCTCTATTGCCAATTCTAGCCCTGCCAGTAATTTTATAAATAAACTGACTTCATCAATTGCCAAAACATTAGATACCCCCACTCCAACACAGAGTGTTTCCTACCGTGGATTTACAATAACTCCCTCTATAAATTCTGCGCCAACAACGAATAATACAGCCTTAAGTGAAGTCCGCCGAAAGCCACCACCTTTTAGCTATTTCTGTCAAAAGTGTCCTGAAAAATTCAAATATAATATAGCACTTCTTGATCATTTGTCTACCATTCACGGTATTAGTTCAGACCCAATCAGTAAAGACTTTGACCGGTCAAATAAGAAGAGTAAAACAAATAAAATTAAAATCCCAAGAAGAGGCCGGCCAAAAAACGTAAGCAATGATGTAAACTCACCTCCCTCTGTCAAAATAAAGAGGAATCCAAAAGGAACACGAACCAAAAGGAAGAGCAAGACTAGTGATGGTGTCATTGCCAAAAAAGCACTGTCAAATGCCCAGGAGCCTTGTGAAAGACTGTCGCCTGAAAAATCGAAGAATCAATTGCCTACGACTGTTGTAGAAACCGAAACTGCTGAAGAGAAAACTGCCTCTACACCCGAGCACAAAAAGAACAAATCTGCATCCAGTCCTCTTTTAAATGGTGATGACTCAACAGATGATTCCTCATTAGCAGATAATCTCATTATGGATATTGGTGATGGTCAGCTCCCTGATAGTATGAATCATGACGCACAAGCTGCATTCCCTCTTGATGCTGCCTCTGTTCCCATCGACAGTTTGATGAAATCCTTCAAGTTTTTAACTTACGCTGTACTAGAAAGTGATAAAGGTAAATTTTATAGATGTTCTCTTTGTGGTAAAAACTCTCAAGCCATTGAACGATTCTTAGACCATTTTGAAAAAAGTTGCTGGCGGTCTGCGGGTGGGTTGAAATGTCCATTTCCAGATTGTTCGTCAAGTACTTTTTCTCCGAAAGTATTGCGAGATCATTTCAAAACTAACCATAACATTGTGACACATTCTTGTGAAGTGTGTAGAAGTTATTTTGTAGATGAAGAAGACCTAAAAGAACATTATCGACTCTTATGCATAAGTTGTGATAATAGCAAATATACATGTCCAATGGGTGGTTGTAAGGTTGAATATTTTCATGAGCTGCACTTCAGAAGTCACTTATCTCGTAGACACAAGATTATCACTGCTTCCACTTGCAGGATTTGTAAATTATTCTTTCATAAAGAAGATGATCTTAAAGACCACCTTAAAACTCAGGAACATGTATTGGCTAATGTGAAACATATGCGTAAACTGAATGAGGTACGTAAGCTTCGGCAAGAACAGGAAAAAAAGAAAAAAGATCTTGAGGTCTGCGGATATTATCCAAAGCCTGTTTAAAGCAAGTACCCATCCCTTTAAAAGTGTAAGTTCTTCCTGGCCCTTTTTCTTTTGTTATTTCTTCCAAAAGATGAGAATTTTCATTTTACATTATTATTTGTATTACTTTGAATGGTTTAAAAAAATATGTGCAGTATTACCTCTATAAAAGACTTCCAAAACTTTCCTGAAAAAGGCATTTGTATTCAACGTTTTTGCAAAACAGCCCATATCTCAAGTAGCACAGTTTGCAAATAATTCCAATTACATAGTAAAATTACTTCTATTGTTTTAGATTGTTGTGTATGTTGTCCATTCACTAATTGAAGGGGCTCCTCAGGGGTGCGTTGGTGCGTATTGTCCTAGGCCTCCGCAATTTTCTGCAACATGCTGGGTTTTTGCAAAGAGTGCTGATCAAAATTTTGTTAAATTTTCTGATAATTTTTAGATAATTCTTGGAAGTGTGCCAAAGTTGCGGTACTCCACAAGAATTGAAAATCTAAAAACTGTCCAGGGAAAAAAAATTCTTTCAGCTTCCACAATTTTTAGGTTCAACCGCAACTTGATCATGACTGCGCAACCACGCGGTCTAGAATAATTTGCACCCCTGGTGTTCCTCTTCTTGAAATTTATTGCAATAAAATTGAAAGTAAATTACAGTCGGTTTTGCATTGCAAATCATCTACCTCTCTTTCGTAATACATGGAGCTCATTTTGTTAATTGTTTAAAATTTGCTTTTATTGACCAAATAATGTAAAAATATCGCAATTTCATTGTTTAAAAAATAAAATATCATTTCTATAAATTGAAAGATTATCTCAATGTTCTTGTTGTACTGAGCTATTTGGGAGCTAAGTTGTCAGAAAAAAAATATCAAAACTTTAAAATATTTACTCAACCTGCCAACACAAATAACGACGACTTAATGAAATGTACCTATCACAAAGAAAATGCATCCGCTCTTCCTCCAGAAACCATACATTTTCAATCTTATTCAAAAGAATTTTTTTTTGTTTTGTAAGACCAATGTGATTTTAAGACAACTAAAGTCTTTGCTCAAAGGCGATTATTTAATACCTAATAATTTCTTTATAAAATGCCTTTAAGGCCGAAGATGCTGTTATCTATATTCCACAACTTTGAATTATTGTGACATAATGTTGATAGTCAGACTTGTTTCATGTCAGAGGGCTCTCAAAGTTCACTGCCTCTTGCTGAAAATATGTATGTTTTCTTAACTGTATTTGGAGAATGAATGTAGATTGTATCCGATACCACACTCAACTTAAACTTTTTGCCTTTCAAGATATACCTACCTACTTAAAAATGTTTTCTCTCTTGCTGTATTAAGTATTTTACAACTAAGTTTATCATTTTAGAATCTATTCAATGCAATGCATCAAATATGTCCATAACATGCCAGGTCATAGCAATCTTTGTATCTTATTTGTCGGAACAAATGACAATAATAGTATTATTGCCTCTGAATTGTTGAGGGCTGCTTTAAATGTAAGTAAAGGCTAGAAGTCTAAAATTTAATAACTGTCTCCAATTAAATTTGTTGCCCTGCAAATTAAAAACTACAAAAGTGGTTCATTTTTGCTACAGTCAAATTTTCGTCTCTCACACTAAAAAATAACAATAATTATCGACTGAGCTGTTTCAGTATTTCTTACTTACATTTTATTTGTGGAGGTAGGAATATGAGAGCCACCTAATGTCTTTCTCTGAAACTCCCAGTAATTTTTCTTCACCCTTGTAAGGAAAAACTCTGAAATTTTCAGCCTAATTCATGCGAAAGTTTTCCCCATGAAAAAAAAAAATGTTTATTGAAATTTTTGGAACAGCGTAGACAAGATATGTTCCTTCGTACAAGAGACAACAAAATGGGTTACAGTTACCACCTTGACTAAACCGACTTCAAACTTGCAGATTAATTCAAAATCATATTATTGAAGAAATAGGTAAATCCACTTCATTTACCTAGACTTTATGATTTCTCTCCCCTTGCCGAATATTTTCTAATGTATTGTATTTTAAGTACTTAGTTTATCAATTATCTAATATTGGGAGTAAACAGTGTCAACATAATCGAAGAAATCAGTACCTTCTTACTGATCAGATATTTTTCATTTTCTCAAGTTTTAGGATAAAAATTTTTTTAAGAGGACAATGAGAGTTCATCAAAATACCTAAAAAAATATTTAGTCTCTATATTTTCAGTCCAAGTGGGTAATTCACAAAAATTGTGCTCTCGATCAGCCTGCGTTATTTTTAGCCATTTTTGGATTTGAATGGTACTTAAGTAGATACAATAATAAAGAAAGAAAATAAGGGGCTTGAAGAAAAAAGCGCATAAGTTCAGTTTTTGAAAAAATTTAAATATTAATGATATCAACTAAAACTAGTCTTAAAGTATAACTAATAATCTGTGAAAAATTCTTTTCTGAAATCCAATTTTTAAGGATCAAAAAGTGAGTTTGAACTATCTTGCAGTCATAAGGCTCCATGTAATTTGAAACTTTAAAAACCTATTTCTTGAAATAGCAAAAACTGCTCTTATGGCAAAACCCAGCAAGCGTCTTCTAATTAAGTAGTGTATTGCTAAGATTGTGATCACTTTTTCTCTGATTCTAGAAGAATTCGCTGGCTCATTAAGACTAACGATTTTTTCATGAAAATGATCGAGACTCAAATTTAGTGAACATTTTCCTGTTA